GAATCCTCTCCACCCGGAAACGAGAAAAAACTCTTACCTGTTCCAATTTTGATGACATTGCTCACGGTAGCAGTTACTGTAGTCAGAGCATTCTCAAAATTTTCCACAAAGTCAACATAGACATCTTGCTTCTCCCGCATTTTCAAGCCATTGACCAGTTCTTCACCGCCATCAAGGTGACTAGTGGAAGTAACGGTAGTCAAAGCCTTCTCAAAGCTTTGCACGAATTGACAGTAAACATCCTTCTTCGGCTGCACCTCTAAGCCATTTTCTTTTTCTCCGTTGCCTCCCTGTTGGCCAACGTAAGCCTCTGGTTTCATAATACATGTGGAGACTTCAGCAGACATTCTAAATTGAAGGAAGCGTGGTTAATCAACTGAAAAAAGACAATTCCGAAAGATAAGATCACGATTAATCCATTTTGAATAGCGAAGGGTGAGTCCCACTTCCATTACCTATTTAAATTTACTTCTTACGGTATACTAATACTACTACATTGGGAGATAAACATGTGAGTAGCAAAAACACCTATAATGGGGAAAGCGAAGAATAAAACATTAAAGGATTCTTAAAGTATAAGAAAGGTGGAAATTTCAGTGATCATTAGGTCCATACAGCGGAGTAAGTCGACTACAATGAGAAGAACTATGGAACAATTTGCAGTGGAGGGCGATTATATGTGATATGTGCTATATGTAAGAAAAAAAAAGGGACCAACGTATCCGTTCACTCGTACCCACCGTAAAAAAAATCGACAGAGAAGTATATTGGAAATTCGGAAGCATAAAAGCAGATGTATTGGTTTGGGAGTCCAGCGGACCCAAAACAGACTAGTTGACCCTCAGAGCAAGAGTGCAAGTAATAAAGACCATCACTGATCATGGTGGTTTTCCAAAGATTATAGACTAGAGAGCTTTGTTGTACCCCACACTAAATTAGATTCAGGGCTTAAAATGAATCGTTACAATCGTAACCGAGTGGGTGAAAAGACAGATTATCCGCTAAAATGAAGGTGAACAGCAAAACAATGATGTG